ATTTGAACACCTGACTCATGGTGCTGTCTGAGCAGAATGACTTTCTTTTCTTCTTTCTTTTTTGACAAAATAATAAATCATAAATAAAAATGTGCACCCCACCACTGAAACCATTCCATTGTAACTATCCAACCTCCCAAAATTTCAGCACCTCTTGCAATGGTATGACCCCTTTCCGTTTTAACAGTACAAATTCTACAGACACCCTCCATATCTTCTCAAAATAACTTCTCTGGCATATTCCCCATCTTACCTTAATGGCGCATGTTAATTTATCATTCATAGCTATATCTCACACCTCTTTATACCATTCTTCCATTTTATATTCTGCTTGCCCCTTCCACTTCCTAGCTATAATCATTTGTGCAGCTGTCAATAAATTTGTGAACCTTCCACCCCATCGTAAACTGATAATAAATTGACTGGGTCGAGGAGCTGGAGATGGCATTATAAGTGGTCCACGTTTCGCAAGCATACAGTAAGGTTGCTAGTAGAATAGCATTGTAAACAAGCATTTTGGTTTCCCTGCGAATGTCCCCGTCCTCAAACACTCTGCACTTCAATTGGGAAGAAGACAAGGAGAAACTTTACTGGTCTTCAAATTTCAGGTAAGCCCACACCAGGTGTCAGCCCCATTCTCACTGGAGGCCCCATGGGAGATGGAGGATCCCATTCTCTCACCCTGCTAGGCATAACCTAGATGAGATGACCTGGCACATTTGGATGCCTGACAAAGAAAATTTGTATGATTAAGACAAATGTAATAAATGAAATGACTGATGCGTTACTGTCCTGTCCTAAAGTCCCTAATCCATCACTGTAGGTTCTCCTCCACTTGAGCTACACATTCATGGAAGAGTCACAGTTCAGTGCTAGAGCTTCTGTGTCCTGGACTGTTGATGAGTGGTCAGAAGACCACTTCTTCTATTGAGGAGGTAAAGAGGAGGTGTTGGAAGCTGAGGAGGTAACGGGGCTTAGTGAGCTGGGAGAGTCTGTAACAGAAGTCCGGAATCGGAGGCAGGAGAGGATGGGAGCCAGGAGACATGAGATTACTCTGGTGAAGAGAGATGTCTCCCCCTTCTGTTGCAACTAGTTCCCCAAATCCCAGAACCAGAAGAGGCATGAAACAGGAGGAGCAAAGACAGGCATGTAGGCGCAGTCTCCGATTGCTTGCGGAAAGCCCTGGAGAGGACGAGACATTGACAGCTGTGAGGAAGTGAGGACCTTTAGTCTCTGCACCTGATTTCATGGAGGAAGACCTACCAGGAATGAGCTGCTGTGTTCATTAGGCCTGGCACTCAGCCATTGTGTTTTTGCTAATAAAGAATTGCATAACTCCAACTTTGAACTGTGTAATTGACTGTCCGGCTCACTCTGTGACAATAAATTAATAATAATAATAATAATTTATACCCCGCCCATCTGGCTGGGCTTCCCCAGCCACTCTGGGCGGCTTCCAGAAAAATATTAAAATACTGTAATACATCAAACATTAAAAACTTCCCTAAACAGGGCTGCCTTGGCACATGGAAAGTCTCAATCCCAAGCATCTCAAGGGGGAGCTGGGAATGCCCGATCTGCAGTCCTGGAGAACTGCCACTTGGTATAAGGCATCGCTCTCTTGACACACAGAACTAGAATGTCATTTAATCAGCTTCCTTCCCGCTGAGGGGTTGGAAGAGTCATCCACCCATTAGCCAATGGTTGGACACTTGCTTGGTTTTTTTTTGGGGGGGGGGTTGACAGGGGTTGTTTGTTTTTTAATTACATGATCAGGAAACACTAGTCACCCTGCCTGCACTCATTCAAGCCTGACTGCACAATTCTATAAATTATAATACAAGAACAAGTACATGTGTTAAGAACCATCCATGATCAAAAGTTCTCTGGCTAACATGAAGGCTTTTTGAAGTTGTTACAATAGAATGCATGTAAAAATAGAAAGTTTAAAAACCAATCCCATCAGAGAGTCCTTTCCATTTGTGTTGCTGAAATACCGTATTTTTCGTCCCATAGGACGCACCTAGTTTTTTTGGGGGGAAATAAAGGGGGGGGGAATTTCCTTTATTTCCCCCCCCAAAACCAGGTCGGGGAATCCAAACCAAATCAGGGAACAGCGGGATGGCGGCACTGCGCCTCCCCGCTGTCCCCCGAGCTTGTGGGGCTGCCCGATGTCTGCCCGAAGCGCGGGGCGCTCTGCTTCAGTGCGCCCCGCGCTCCGGGCAAGCAGGCTGCTATCCGCAGCCTAGGGAGCCCTGCGGGAACTCCCGCGGGCTCCCCAGGCTTACGGATAGCTTCCTGAAGCCTGGAGAGAGAGGGGGTGTCGGTGCGCACCGACCCCTCTCGCTCTCCAAGCTTCAGCGAAAGCCTGCATTCACCCCATAGGACGCACACAGATTTCCCCTTCATTTTTGGAGGGGGAAAGTGCGTCCTATAGGGCGAAAAATACGGTAAATAAGGCAGCAGAAGCCATTAGTTAGAAGTGGCCTCCTTAAGGTATGCTATTAAATCTGCCCTCTCCCCCTTCTTCTTAATGCCAGCAAATACCATCTTGGTTCCTGGAATATACTTCTTGGGGTTTTCCAAGTAAACCATCAGTGTATCTTCTCCCCAGGTTATACCTTTGCTTTTGTTGGCTTCTGTGTAAGAGAAACCTTCGGCCTGACCAGTCTTTCGGCCAAAAAGACCATGAAGGTTAGGGCCAGTCTTGTGCTTGCCTCCCTTCTCAACTGTGTGGCACTGTGAACACTTCTGGACAAAGATCTTCTTGCCCTTCTCAACATCTCCCATGGTCACTGCACGCAAAGTAGAGGAAGGGATGCAAAGCCGCCACCGCGCGTTCTCCCGTCAAGAGTTCCGCAAACTGAGCCCAAGGCCACCCCGTACGCAGCGCTATGTAACCGGTGTCCACGCAACCAAGCTTTGGGACATTTGCTTGTTTATTAAATAAATTTATTAAACACTTTACTGCTAACAAAAAAAAGCAGCAGCTCTCAGAACAAATGCCCTGTTTACCCAAGGAAAAAATGTTCTCGCCATTGGTCGCTAACAACAATATTAAAGAAGGTCAAGGGTATTTTAACCCCCTCTCCGAACACAGATTCAACAAGAACAAGCAACTGTTTAGCCCCACAACAGATTGGCTCCAGAGATGTGGGGATCAGTTCAGCAGGTGAGGGTCACTGAAGACAGGTCCTAACCTAGCCGCCTCATTATCAACTTCTCTCCCGCTTTTGCATGCCGATTCCTCACTTCCCTGTGCTGGGTCTCGAAGAACGTATCCTTTTCCAGGAGAAACTGCAGCTTTGAGGGCTTCTTCCCAGCTCTTGGTCTCGTAGAAAGTTGACAAGGCATCAAGCACTGAGAGAAACACATGTGATTATTATAGGGATTAGTGGGAACTGGATGAAAGGTGGGAGACAATTGTGACATTGCAGAATTTTTTATTATTATCAGGCGGCAGAACAGCTCGAACGTCTTGCTTATGGAAACCTCCCCAGTTTATATCAGAGATTTTAGGAGACTCGTAGAGAATTAGCTGAAATCTAATGCTCCGTGAACACATAGCTAGCTCAGTAGTCCTCATACTATCAAGTTACACAGTACCTTTTATAACAGTGCAACCTGAGGAACAAGTGAGAGACAGCAAAATGGATATTCTTCAATCCCAGACACCAAAATTGTCACAAGCTTAAAATGTGCAAGGGGTATAAGCATTGCTGTAAGCAAGACTTGTTGATTTCAACAGTAGTGTCAGGCACAGGCTCAACTGTATCCTAGTAAAATCAATAGTGCCTGAAGTTATTTACCCATATTTTTCGCTCTATAAGATGCACCAGACCACAAGACGCACCTAGTTTTTGGAGGAGGAAAACAAGAAAAAAAATATTCTGAATCTCAGAAGCCAAAACAGCAAGAGGGATCGCTGCGCAGTGAAAGCAGCAATCCCTCTTGTTGTTCTGGCTTCTGGGATAGCTGCGCAGCCTGCATTCGCTCCATAAGACGCACACACATTTCCCCTTACTTTTTAGGAGGGAAAAGTGAGTCTTATAGAGCAAAAAATACGGTAACTTTGGCTGAATTATGCCCCTCATTTTAGTATAGGTGCAGGCGACCATTTGGTTGCGAGAATGGGCCAAAAAACCAAAACACATAAGAGCTCTAGAATGCTCTTGCTTCAACCAGCCTAACCACAATGGGAGGCTTTCTACTTCATCTAAAGTTTTCCTCCCTTCCCTGCTTCTCAAACTCCCCATTCTTCACAAGACCGAGCTACCAGGAGCGGCCGGTACCCACTGGGAAGGGTAGGGCATAAGGCTGGAAGACCAACACCAGGGGCAGCCATAGCTGGTTGGAAGTAATAAGGCAGACAACTAGGTTTGATGGCAGCCTAAGGTTGGTAGGGCACTAACCCATTCATCATCATCATCATTTTAATATTTATACCCCGCCCATCTGGCTGAGTTTCCCCAGCCACTCTGAGTAGCTTACAGCATATATAAAAAAATGTAGAAATTTCCCAATATTTGGGGTTGAAATCAAACCCCAAACCTCCCTTCCAATTACATTTCTAGCAACAGGGATTATAATTATTGTTTCCTTTGTTCAAAATAAATGCAGCAATATCACATAGATAGAAGGTATAGAAGATCTCCAACATCATATTGAAGAACGCCCCAGAAATCCTCCCCAAACTAATAAAGGCCTATTTCTCCTATGTCCTAAGTGTACTTTATCATACACTCCTTTACACAAAATTCCAATATAATCTTATAGATCTTCAACAGTTTTCAGGGACAAGGCGAAATTATATCAGGACAAATAATGGTTTAAGATATGGGATTATATCAATGGACCAGCTTCCACTGTGCACGACATAAAGCAACATTAATAAGACCATTGCATTGGGACCCGAGCAGACAGCGTCATTATGGTGTCC